AGAATATAGTTTATTATTATTTATATAGTAAGTATATTTATTAAATAAGATTATAGAAGGTTAGTAAGTATTAAGCTAGGTTATTATAATAAATTTATATTTAAGTTTAATTTTATAAAAAATTAGAAGGGGAGTAGTAATATTAATATTCTTATATTAAATAAAATAATTAAAATACTAGGCTATAATATTAGCTAAATATTTCTTATAATTAATAATATTATATAATAAATTAATAGTAATCTAGACTTATTAAATAGTAAATTAGATACTTATATTATATTTATAGAGAAAATAAAAGAGGTAATATAGAAATAGGTTTTTACTTAAGAGATTAGTAGTAGCTTTATAGTAGAAGTAAAGAATATTAAAAAGAAGAAATTTATATTAATTATAATAAGATTAAAAAAAGAAAAAAATCTTTTTTAAGGCCTAAAAAAGTAAAATTTAAGTAGCTATAATACTAAGACTTAATAATATTAAATATAGTTAGTAATATTAGTATTTTTTTATTATCTTAAAAGACCTCTATTATAAGAAAATAATAATTATAATAATACTGATTTTATAAAGCTATTAAGAGTATAGCAATATATAACTATAGCTATAGCAATAAAGTACTTATAAGCTGCTATAATTATAGGCGCCGGCTGTATTAAGGTAAGGTAGCTAACCAGATTGGAAATAGGCTTAAAACACATTTCCCAATCGGGCATAGCGCCTGCTGCAGCCAACCACAAGCCGCATTTAAGGACGCCTTTCAACTACACTACGATATACACCGAATACGCCGGGACAATGTATGCAACGCCTGCTACAACCGAGTTATATAGCCGTTAGAGGTGAGATCTGGGTTTTCCAATTGGGAAGAGTGGCTTGCCGCCTTGCCTAATTGGGCTGTTGGGGGGACCCGCTGCTAATAAGTAGCGTTTACCCGGCCCGTTTGAGATAATTGGGAGCCCAAAGGGGGGGGGATATGTTATAGGCTGAGCCTGAAGTGAAGGCCCGGGTGTAAGTCCGGGCCGGGAGTATAATAACCCGAGGGTGCAGCTAGCGAGTAGAGTTTTCACTGCAACCTCTTAGCGAGGTCTCCTCTCTCTCTCTCTTTCTCTTTAGCTTAAGATACTTCTAAATATAAGAACCCTATTGTTGGACAAATTCAGGGCTCGCCCCTTATACTGGGTATAAGATATATAATTAAGTAAATTAGAATATTATAGTAAGTAATATAGATTATAATTTAGTAATAGTAGAATAGTAAATTTAATATAACTAAGTATATTTATAGCTAGTAAGGCTATCTATCTATAAAAGTGCTAAATAAATATATATATATACTATAGGGATTACAAGGATTATAGTAGTAATCTAAGTAATCCTCTATAATAGATCGTAAGGATTACAGTAGTGATCCAAGTAATCTATCCCTGATTGGAGAAGAAAAGTGGGTATGTTATGGTTCTGCCAGTTGTAACCGCCTGGTCCCAACCTGCACCGTGACAGTTTGCTTAAGGCGCTGGTGCAGGACGACGCCGCTTGAGGGAGAGTGTTAGACCTCCAGGCCCTACTGAGTTTATCGCAGTTGCCGTTGTTATCGTCACTGGGGTTTGCGCCGACATCTGCGCGGAGTGGTCTTGATGTTGATGGTGGAGTTAAAGATCCCAACGTGGATGATAATACTCACATCACCAGGACTACACAAGGGTCACGTGATCTTGGTAACTGTGAGGGGAATAAAGTAAATCCGGCCCGCCCGGGCTAGGCTGCGGAAATCACAGGAGGCTGGTCAAGCAAGGCACAGATACATCAGCTCACATCAATTGATCAATTGCGCCTATTTGCATTATCACAACTTTGTCAATATTACACGATCCAAGGACCTATTTTTGGCCACTTCAGGTTAGTAATTAACCGAAGATCCTCTTTTTAGTCAATTCGGATAATCCGACAGTAACCGATGTCGCTCTCTCCTCAGTGCATACGTAAGGACCTCCAAGCCGTACCCCGCCCCAGTGTTATGCCTCTAACAGTTATCGCCTGCTGTAGGGGGTCTCAAGAGCGTAACTGTTAAGGTCTTATTATGAGTCTACTTACTCCTTAGGCGGAAGATAGGATAGGATAAGGTATCGCCACTAACGAGACCTCTGATTGGTCTGATCCCCTTGTCATGACCAGCTCGGATGTGATGTGATGTATATTTTCCGTCCGGACAGGCCCTCTTTTGGGGCACAGGACGTGTTGAGCTGAGCTATTCGAAGTTGCTGCCGCCTCACGGCTCCACCGGTCCTCTTGCAAGGCCTCTGGTTCCAAGAGGAGCTGGACTCAGACCCTCGACCCCAAGGGGAGCTGAACTCGAACCCTGAGGGGCAGCTTTCCTATCCGTAGCCCTCCTCTACCATAGGTGTCGCTAAGCATGTCAACACAAGCATCTCCTGCAACTGCATCTCCTCCAGCTCATCTAGCATGGCATCGGCTCAAAGGCGCTCTGTGTCAAGCCCGTTACCCGTCAGCGGGATGTGCAGGCGCGGGTGGTCAAACCCATGGTTTTCAACTAGTCAGAATTCTCTCACGTCCCTTGCCAGAGAAGCTAACACAGTTCTATTCTCCAGTAACCAAGCGATAGAATTGACTAAGGGTGTGGCAGTAGGGAAAAAAACCCTCAGAAGGAACGACAGGCTGGCGTGCAGCTTGCCTTCAGGGAGAAAAACCTCCGCGACTAGCGTCGTTGTTTGGAGGGTCTTGCGCGCCCTCCAATACCTCGGTCTGCCTTGGTTCTGAAGGTAGTCGTGAGGTCCGGCTGAGTGTCGAAGACGAACTCTCCTAAGGTCTTTCTCTGTCCCTGTTAAGGCCCCGATGGGGTCCTGAAGGCAAAAGCGTGGTCGGGTGGCCTGAAAAATGCCCAGACTGCTAACAGCTGCGGGGAACAAAGAATTTTTACAGGGGAGAGTTGTTGAGCTGCTATGCCAAAGCACAGGGGTACAAGGGAAGCGACCAATCAGGGTGCTGAGTGCCCACTTTGTCACGAAAAACGGGCAAGGGCTGCAATATCGAACATCCTCTTTCAAGTGAAAGGGGAATACAAGGGTGCTGGGCCAATCACGACGCGTAAAAGTCCACTTTCACTGAAAATGGGAGGTGTCATAAGGATGTAGGGAGGAAGGCTAGCTATTTTATCCCTAGAGATCCTGCTGATTCAGACGTCAGATCTGACGGATCAGGATGCCGGATTAGGTTGTCTCGGCTATTAGGTTCGAAGGGACACATTCCTAGACTTGTGGGCACCTTCCTAGTCTGTGGATACATTCCTAGTCTAGGTTCCGAAGGAACTGTCTAGACCCGAATCCATATGCCTGTTCAGAATAGGGTTTCCTTGCTCATCTCCTCCGTCTGACACTGGCAGGTCATAAATCAACCCTAACCCTAATTCCGCGGATCCATGTGGAAAAGCCTCCAAGAAAGATGATTCATCCTGTCCCATTTCAGCATAATGTTGCTCCAGTGCATCAGATGGTGACCCTGGAGCTGGATGCTGTGTTGTCTCCGGTATCGGGTATTGATGTTGAAATTGACCTGAAGCCGGGTGGAGAGCCTGGTTTTGATCTCTGTGCTGAGGATTAAATTCCAGAAATACGTGGTCCCAATCGTCTATATCGATGGACTCGACCGCTGTTCCAATTGGGGCTGCCTGAATTGGGGGTGCAATTGAGCTGGTTCTAGTTGATTGTGGAGTTGCCGTTGTTCCCTGGTTATATTGCGGTGGGGTTCCAAGGTCGGTTACTGGCATATTAGAGACAAAACTCACAAAGTGATTGAGAATGATGTCAACATGGGAAATGGCATCTGGTGGGAGCCTGTCTCTTGGTGACCTTTCTAAATACCTGGCGGTTAGGGTTCGCATTAACCCTCCGAGGCCAGCCTCTTGATAGGGCGAGTCGGGCGGGTTGTTGTTGGGGAACAGGATGTGCCAGATCTTGAACCAGGTCTCTTCTATCGGCTGGTTGCGTGGTTGAGTGATAGAGATGCGTTCAGCCTGATCGGGGGTGATACCAGTAATTGCAGTATTATTCTGGCGGCAGGAGCATGTTCGTACGTAGGCATCGCGTTGGTGTTGCAAGTCAGTGTTAGTGATGTCGGTAAATTTAATCTTACAGATAGGGCAATGCGACGGCTGCTGCAGGTGAACGGATCGTTTGATATGCTGGCGTACGTCGGCGACAGAGCGGAATCGATATGTTCCACATTTACAGTGCTGAATGGCATTGTACTTGTAAAACGGACAAGCCAAAAGGCGCGTTACAGTTGGTGTGCCATGCTTTGTCTTTTTGGTGTGTTCCTTGTCCGAAAATCCATCGCCAGACCGTTTCTTGCCGCCGCCGTTATTGTCCTTGCCTATACGGTGATCTTGAGGTGAGGCGTCCACTGCCGGTTCAGCAAGCTCGATTCGTACGGGCTCATCTGATTGGCGCTTCAGAAAACCCTCCTCAGTATCCTGCTCTACCCTCTGATCGTTGAGTTGAGAGTGAGGAATAGGGGGTGGCGTCCGGTTCACTTCATCACCTCTTACGGCAGTTCCGCCAATAGACTCGTCTGCAGGAGAGGCTGCTGAATAACGCAGAGAGTCAGATGACAAAGCTTCCCAAGCGTGACGGAAAACTCCATGTGCCGGCATTATCATAGCCAGGCCAGTCTTCGGGCTTCCTGCAATGACATGCCCAAATAGCTTCCCAGTGACGGCATCTCTGACCCAGCTGCCACAATCCCCCACCACAAGTGGTCTATTGAGCTTCGCTAAGTAGATCTCTTGGAACTCCCTGCAGCCTGGTAGACGGAAGAAAGTTGGCGTTCCCGAGAGCGTTCCAAGCAGTTCGATCATGCCACGGAATGCCTGTTGCGCGCACGCGAGCGAACCCGGGCCGATCAGCGATGACACACGTTGCAGGGTCATTTCGCTGCTCCTCGGTGAGTTTTGACATGGCATTTCCCAGAACGTGTGGTTCTGGCATCTCGGGGGAACGCCGCGTAATTATGTGATAAGACAAAAGGTGGATTGGGATTATTAAGGTCTAAGCGCTTTATGTCTGAGGAACACAGCTCCGCCAAACTACGTAGTATCCACATCCCAGCCACCAGCGTATCGGGCCTTCTTTGTCATACAGTCTCAACATTATGTTCTTGGAGCCGCTGAAGCGTGCGTGACGGGCCAAGCGGCGGAAGGGAAGTTCCGGCGAGGTTGTCGGTCTTAGGGTTTTCTTTGTCCGCGCTCTGCTTGTTCTTTTGATGACGCCCAGGATGTCGTGCAGGTCTTGATCCGTCACTTTGGCTTCCGGAATGTCGCCGAGGCTTCTTCGGGGCTGTCATCTCGGGCTCATTTGGTTGGCACGGTTGGTAGGCGACTGTGTTCTGCGCGAGGGATTGAAATTTGGAGAAGAGGGAATATAATGAAGAGGAGGGATTGCGTTGCAAAAAACCTTGCACATGGCCTTATTTGACTTTTAATGTTAAATTACTGTTGTCCCGGTCGGGAATGGTCAAGTGTCGTCGCTTGATAGCTGCGCGGGCAGCAGCGCGGCCTAGCTCACCATTACGGGAATGGCCTCCGTTTCGGACCCTGCCTCGCCCAGGAGCCAGGGCTTTCGGTCCGAAACATATACGTCCTTGGTCTACCTCTGTACTGACATTCTGCGGTGTTAAGAGTTTATCATTCGCCGCTTGGCGTCCAGCGAAAAGGTATAGTATCGATAGGGAGACATTAAATGGATTGACTAAGCACTGTTTGCTACCCACCATACGTCCGATGAAAGTCCGACAGGTAACCCGATTATTTATTGACGTTGGATATCCCACAAAATTTTCTTCTTCTTTGAAAGGTTGATATATATATACATTCATGAAACTAAACTTGCCTAATGGGAAGAGCCTTGACTACGTGAGCATAGGCCGACTGCTTGACTGCAGAGCACACTGTTCCCTCAGAGTTACCAACCATAGACCAAGAGCCCTCCCCAACAAACTCAAACCGTACAGCAGATGCCCCAAGGAAGAAACCATCTAGCACTTCACAGGAAGAGCCTTCTCGCTCGTCGCCTTCTTAGCCAAGGCAATCTCAGCGTTACGCCGACGAACAAGGCCCGGCAGCTTCCTCTTGCCCGCGTAAACCCACTTGGGCAGCTCCCCAGAAATCACAGTGTTGGGCTTCTCGCCCTTGTTGAGACGCTTGATGAGCTGCGATCCCTCGGCGGCGCCGCAGCCGACGTTAAAGGACCAGCTGACCAGGGCGCCGAACTGGTTCTTGTTGAGGGTGACTTTGCTGTTAACCATTTTGGGGATGCATTTCTCGAACTTCTGCCATAGTGTTAGAACTGGTCGTTTGAGATGTTGAAGATGGACTTACTCTCATGTCATCCGCGAGAAGCTTCTTGCCGTTGGCCTTTGACAGGGGGATTGGGTATTTGACATCAGTGCACTTGGAGTTCTTGCAGAGATGACCGTAGCCTACGGTAGGATAGCCAGCAGCGTCCTTGTCTGTCTTGACTCGTTAGTACTCCTGACACTCCCAAGAGCAAGAGATTACTGACAGATATGAGGAACGAAACCCTCAAACTCGCCAATCAGGTCTACAGTAGCCTGGTTAGAAGACGGCGCAGAGCAACCTCCGCCGCACTTGGGCTTGACGTATCCATTGGAGCCCGTCTTGACGTAGTAGTCCGAGACGTAGCAGCCATCCGAGATCTTATCCCAGATGGTATTCCCGCTGATGTTTGTGCCCTCGGTTTGGCAGGTGATGGTGACGTCGGTGCCCTTCTTCAATACCTTCTTGACCGCGTAGCTGGTGCCTGGGCCGGAGCGGCACTTGACGTCATCGCCGGTGATGGGGTATGCGGTCGCGAGGGAGGCCACGAGGGTAGAGAGGGCAAAGAGAGTGAACTTCATGGTGGGCGATGTTCTGTAAAGGGGAAGTTGAACAGGGTTAAAGGAGGTTGATGGGAATCAGTTCAAGCTCAAGAGGCCAAGACGAAACCCTTTATGTACTCAAAACTCAATGTCGTGCAAGATTGAAAGGAGTAACTTAAATGAACCTTTATGCCTCATTTCCATCTGGACCCTTGGAAACCATCCGTCATACCTCCCCAAAACGCCTTGCTCTTTGAGCAGCTGAAGAACACAACTGCCGGCATTCTAGACTCCTTCTTACACAATAAGACGGGGAAACTTTTATGCCGATTAATAAATTAATTCTTGACTTACGGAGGAAATCCCAATCTGCCGGATTTGGACGCTGCTCAATTGCCTGAATGGGATCCCTGCGGATGTGGGGATTGGTGAAACATATCGGAGATTTGCCCCGATTCTGCAAGCTGAAGACTGGGGACTTTGGTTCTCTGCGACGGGCCGAATCTGGATGTAGATTCGTTTCGAATGGCGAAACGGCGGGTACATCCGTTGTTTGCGGAAATGTCCGTCTGACATAAATGGACGGGCCTTGGGCTTAGAGACATGCATTCATTGAGGCGTTGAATGTGCAAGGAATACGGAGGCAGGGCCCAAAAGTTGTTGCCCAGGAAAAAGCAACGACAGCGCCACAACTAGGATAAATACAAGGAGTACTTCGACCCAATTCGATACCACTAAACGTTAAGGGGCAATAGCAGACCCTAGTGAGCAGCTAGAAGATAAGCTTTCCCTGCGACCCCTGATGCTACAGGGGCAATAGGCGGAGGCCTTCTGCAAGAGATTGAAGCTTGTTGTAACGGCAAGTACATGACAAGGGTTACAGGATGTGGCGTTGATCAACTTGGGCAAAGACTTTTGGGCCCTGCCTCCGTACTCGAGTATGACATGCTGAACGGGCTGATTCTTGAGCTTGACCGTCTTAACGGCTAACTTGCTTGCTGAATGCTACGTCAAATTGCGTGGTTGAATTCCAAAGGCATGATTGGTCAAGCCATGTTGTGGCTAATGTGGTTGTTCAGCGCCGGTGCGAGTGTCAATATGAAGCCTTCAGGCGGAGAGTTGCGCATAAACGAGACGTAGTAATACTATCTTTAAGAAGCTCAGGCTTGGTTCTGAAGAAAATAATTAAAATAAACAGCAGAAGAGATAAACAAGACTCGATGCTGAACCAAGCATCCGCCTAGTGGTTCAACCCACAGAGATCCTTTCTCCATTACAACCGCGTCCAATTTATTCTAATTATTTGGACCATTCAAAATCCAACTTAAATTGAATCTCCTCTACACAATCGCCCTATGATCCTTCTCCGACCCGCCAGCCTGGTAAAAGTCCGTCTCAACCAAAGTACTAACCTTACGATCCACCGTCTTGGTTAAACTCGAGTAGCCGCCCTCAAACCCAACACCAGAGATGGGAGCATCAGAGAGCTTCCTCCCGTAGTTGAACTTTTTCGCATCACCGTCGTAGCTGATCCGTACGCGCATGCGTCTCCGGCTGCTCTTGTGCGCAGAGTTTATGAAGAGCGTGCGCGCTGGGCCGTTAGCGTCCTTTTTGTTGTAGAGGAGGGTGGATGCTTCGCAGGCGGGGTCTGGGAGGCCCTTGTCGAGGACGAAGAGGCCGAATGCAGACAGAGAGCCTCGGGCGACTTTACGGTAGTCGTCTTCGGCAGAGGCACGGTCGTTACGGTAGAGTCTTCCGTCTGGAGTTTGGGCGATTGTGCCTTCGGAGCCGGCGCCTTTGAGGGATTGGTAGGACCATGTGCGCTTACCGGGCTTGCCACGGCCGATGATGTTTCTTCCTTGAGCGGGAACGACGAGCTCACCAGAAGAGAGGGTAATGCCGATTCCAGGGCCAACGGCATCCCATGACCATCCGTCAGGCGTGAGCTGCTTCGTCATGTCCACAGGTTCAGACCAAGTCTTGCCGTCGTCGGTGCTCTGGGTTAGGAAGATATGGCGTCTTCCCTCCCAAGACTTGTTGATCTTGTTTGTCTTCTTTCCACTGGGGAGGGTGTCGCCGCCGTTTTGGCTGTAGTCGCCGTGGTTCCAGCTTAGGAACAAATAAATGGTGTTTCCGTCAACCACAGGCGTGGGGTTTCCCCAAGTGCCATCTCCTTTTCCGACCACCTCTCGGAGGGAATCCCAGTCGCTGGGGCTATCACCGTGGCTCTTGGTGGTCTTGGTGCGCTTGTAAACGAGATTGACGTCCCCGTAGTCTCGATTGTTGTGCCGCCGACCTTCGGCGAATGCGAGGATGCGACCGGTAGTTGTAGTAACTGCAGCGGGGATTCTGAAGGAATGGAAACCAACGCCGTTTGGAAGCTTGTCTGCGTTGCGCATGTTGGAACTGTGGAATAGGGCGAAGCCTTTGTGGTAGGGTGTTTGACTCTTGGCTGGGTCGTTGACGTTGGCAAAGACAGTGTAAGCCGTGAGGAGCACCAAGAGCAGAGCTCTGATGGAGCTGTTGAAACTGAACATTGTATTTGCCATGAGGATGTGATTTCAGTTCTCACTTGGCGAAAACCATGGGGAGCAATGTATTTTTTTCGTTATATTCATATATAAAACTATACATACTTTGAATAGATGACACATTACTAAGAACCTTGCCTGTCGGAAGATTTGGATGAATGATGCCAGCTGATTGACTTTAGCATTAACCACCGACAATATCAACAGTCTCGGATAGATAGCCCACGTGCTCGAGGAAATCCCTTGACTGGAAAATACGGTCGTGTCAGTGCTAATTAATCACATGCAGATCAATTAACAGACGTCCTTCCTAATGCACACAAGGCTGTGCAGACTATCACGACCCCTGTCTTTTTTATCGACTATAATCCTCCGCGGTAAAACAACTAAAGAGGAAAGTGGTCCGACACCCTTTTGAGATACCTCCGTGGGAGCTGATTAAAGAGCTAATACAGAGTCAGCAAGGGTCGTTTCTGAGGCCGAGAATACTGTTGATTTGGGGATTATCGGGGGATGCCGTCTCGTTCCGGAACCTTATTGAGAAAGTCCTTTAATCTCAATATGCAGGCTGCCAGGAAAGGTCCGATGACCGTCAATCAAATGGAACCATGAATTCCTCCGTCTTACAGACTGGGGCTTTTCAATCTGTCCGTCTTCATTTTGATTTCGATCGTCTGTCGTTTGTCGTTATACTCTCCTTCAGCTGAAGGGTGATTGGTGTTGGTTCCAATTTCTATAAAGTAAAGCAACTATCAAGTTCCCATTCATATTCAATATCACCAGCAGTCAAGATAATGCCTTAAATACCTCTCAAAATGAAGCTGACAACTTTCTGCGCCTATGCGCTCGCATTCTTTTCCACTGGAGTTCACTCCTACCCCGTGACGAGCGACAACCTCAACTGCCGCTCCGGTCCAGGCACGGCCTTCGCCATCAAGAAATCCTACAAAAAAGGCCACGATGTCACTATCACCTGCCAGACTGAGGGTGATAATATCAAGGGAAATTCCATCTGGGACAAGACATCCGACGGCTGCTACGTTGCCGATAAATACATCAAGACAGAAAAGGACAGCTACGTAAAGGGCAAATGCACCAACGTCCCCAAACCTCCTAAGAACAATAAAATCCCAGGTCCTAGAGTCAACGACTATCCCTACAAGAACAGCTACAGCCCAGCGGACAAGTAGCTCTACTTCAAGTGCCAATGCACCAGCTTCGTGGCATGGCGGGTGAATGAGCGCCTAGGCATCAAGTTCCACAACAAGTACAAGGGGAAGGCATGGGGACATGGGTATCAGTGGGATGAGGCTGCGAGGGCGAGTGGTGTAAGGGTTGATAATAAGCCTGTGCCGGGGTGTATTGCTCAGACGGATGCTGGGCAGAAGGGATATATTGCTTGGGTTTCTGCTGTTAATGGGGATATGGTTACTGTTGAGGAGTATAACTGGAATAATTACAGGGCTTATGGGACGCGTAAGGTCCACAAGAGTAAGTTTAGGTATATTCATCTCAAGGTCTAAGGGGCTTGTGGTTGTTGGCTGGAGCAAGGAAGAAGGAATTAGTGGAATCACTGTTGTATTGCTTTAACTAGCTCGACAATAAAACACCTTGATACTCAAAGCTTATTACTGTGTTAAGCCGTGCTACATTACCCCTTCATTGAATTCATCGCCGACACCACATCATCGGGAAGACGTTGTGAAGTTGTCCACAATCCGTCAGTGTTGCTAATAATATAAACAATACGTATATTGGCAATATGGAACCCTTGCAATATTATTGTATTGTCAAGTGGTGCGTATTGTATTACGCAATATGACATTGATCCATATTGTATTGTATTGCCAAGAACCCAATATGCCTTTCGGAACGAAAGGTTCTTCCTTCTGCGTCCTCTGCGCTTCGCCATATTTAGAAAATGGTTGCGATTTTGTCGTCGGTGGCACGGGGAAGACCGTCCTACCAGTGGTGGCTCTCGGTTGTTTCTTTTCTACAAGTGGCGGTCGATTGTTTCTTTGGCTACCTGCCTCCTAACCTGATCTTCCTGTTCCCCCCGATGGCAGGGCCGGGCCTGAAACCTTCAATGCCAGACACTTGCTCTCTTTTGCTTCGACCGCTTTCCACGTCAGACATGGCGCGCCATTTGTTTTACCTCTCCTTTCCCTCCTCACCATACCCGTGGCTCATATCCACTTGCTACCATGCCCCGGCAAGAACCAGTCAGAGTCCCAATTGATGAGATCCCCCGTACATGGGAAGATCTGGATGGGCAACGCACTCAGAATAGGGCCCGAGGGAGTCAGGGAGCCTCTCAATCGACGGTTCCAAACTCCCTGGCGTCTCAAAGAGCCGTCCACCGCCCGCAAGGGCCGCTCAGTATCCATTTTGACGATGCCACTCTACAGGATCTCCTCAAGCTTCGAAGGGAGCTGGTCAGAGTCCCTCATGAGGAGATCCTCCGCATGTTGGCTCTCCTCGAGCCCCGAAGGGAGCCGGTCAGAGTCCCTCACGAGGAGATCCTCCGCATGTTGGATCATCTGGACCGCCATCGCGCTAAAGACCGAGCCCGTTAAATAGCCGGAGAGACTACGCAACTAAATAGCTCCCTGAAGAGGCCGCGGCTGATGGGGGAAACGCTTCCATCTCCGCTGAACACGCAAACAAACCGCGCCCCAAAGAGGCCGCGGTAGATGCAGGAAACCGTCTAACTCTAGCGGGAGTCCGTCAAATCTATTCTACAATACTACAAATTGTACTTTCGCAATAAGATAGAGGCATTAGCAATAAGATTATAGTATAAGAAGGTCCCAGTTGCCCTTTAGGTAGATGCTTCTAAGTTATTCTACTAGGAGTTTATAAATAAAAAGATATTATTAATTTTATATTATATCTTTTGCTATAGAAAGTATATACCTTATAAACTTACTACTATTAAGTAGAAGAGGCAGTTAATACTATTCTTACTATAGGCTATAAGGATTCTTTAGTAATACTAAAAGTATCTTTTATTAGATAATAATACTAGAGTTTAGGTATATTATAAGTACTATACTAACTTAGAAAATAAAAAGCTTTTTAAATTTTACTTAGTTAATAATATAGATATTAAATATAAGTATTGATATTTTAAAGAGCTTAATAGCCTCTTTTCTATTAAAAGAAGCTAATTACTCTTTAAGTCTCTTTTAGCTATATTATAAAATTTATTATAAATAATAAAATTCTATTAAAACTTAATTACTAAAAGTATATAAAAAGCTATATTATTATCTTTTTAAATAAAATAGAGAACTTTATTATTATAATTCTCTCCTACTTTCTTATATATAATAGTTATATCTTCTAGTCTGCTATAAATATAATCTAGAGTAAGTAGAAGGCAGGTTACTAGTGGATAAATTGTAGGTTTATATTAGTAGAGTAGTTAAGGTATTACTTATAGAGTAAATATTATATCTAGTAATAATTAAGTATAGTAATATATAGTAAGTTAAGGTAATTAAGGTAATTAAGTTATATTAATAGCTAAGTAGCTACTTATAGTAAATATATACTACTTAGTAATTTATATATTAATATAATTAAGTATAATTACCTATATAATAATTATAATTACTAGATAATTAGAAGTAATTACAGAGTAATTACTATAATTGTAATTACTAATAGTTAGGGTAATTATAAAGTAATTACTAATAGCTAAATTATATTCCATTCTAGGAGGCTAAGAAAAGTAGGGCTATATCTAGAGCTTAATATAGATTGCAGCTAGACTATAATAAGTAAGTATTAAGTTAAAGAAAATTCAAGCTATAATAGAAGTAATCCCAGGTATTATTTACAATTAGAAGAAGTTAAAAAATTAATTAATCCTACCCCTAATAACAGCCTCTATCTTCTATATCCTACTATTAAAAAAGAATAAGTTAGAGTATAATTAATACCTATATATAACCTAATAAATTAAATAAATATAGTAGTATTATTAAAATAAGTATAGTTAAATTAATAATTATAAGTAAGGCTAGTATATTAATATATTTAAAGTAATTATACTACTTATATTATAAAAAACAGACATTTAATACCAGTATTTTTTCTATAATTATATAGCTAGTAATTAATTTAAAGTTAAATAGACTATTCTATTTAATAATAAAAAGCCCAATAAAAATAAAGCTAGCTATTAGATTGAGTTTATTATAGTTATATAGTAATAAGCCTAATAAGTATTTAAAAGTAAGGCTAATATCTAAATTTAGAATACTAGTAATAAATAAAAGATTAAGAGGTAGTTAAAATAAATTAAATAGCTAGTATATTTAGCCTATATTAATAAAACCCAGTTATAAGAATAGGTATTATAATTAATTAAAAAGAATAAGTAGGTATTATAGAAGATATAAGAGATTTTTAAATATATATTAAATAATATATATATAACTACTAGTTATTATAGACTAGATATAGCTAAGTTATTTAAAATTAAATAAAAAAAGATAATTATTACCTCTAATAAGCTATTTAAAGAGATTATAAAGTTAAATACATAAATATAATATAAAAAATAATAGTAAATTATAATATATATTTAGATATAATTAAAATTATAAAAAAAGAAAGATAAAATAAGAAATTTAAAAAATATAAATATAAATAGTATAGAGAATATAAATATAAATAGTATAAATAATATAGAGAATTTAAATAATATAAATAATATAAAGTATTTAAATAACTCTAGATATTATTTATAGGCAATTCTACTAGAATTATCTATATAAATAAAAGTTTAATATCTATATATTTCTATAATATTACTTACTACTAGGTTAAGTTACTAATTAGCTAAAAATTCAGAGTTAAAATTACTTAAATTTAGAGTTATATAAAGTTAAAAAAAAAAGAAATTAGAATTATATAAGAAGAAAAAATTATAGTATTTACTATTTAGTTATATTATATTTTATTAACATTATAAATTAATATTTAAGTATTATAAGTATATAATAAATAAGTATATACAACTTAATAAGAAGTATTAAATACTTATTTACTATAAATACAATATTATACTATAGCTAAATACTTTTAAAAAGTACTTCTAATAGATATATTAATTAATAGATAATATACTAAAAGAAATTAATAACTATTATATTAAAATAAAATTAGCTAATTTAAAAATAATATACTTCTAATAGATAATAATATAGCTATTAAACTGCTTCTAGTACTAAAAAATTATAGCTATATTATATACTGATATTTTATAGTAATATAAAATAATATTATTTATTACTAAAGAGAAGTATAATATAATAAAGTAGAAATTTAATAAATAGAAATTTAGCTATAAATATAAATAAAGGGAAAGTATATATAATATTAAATAATTTAAGAGTATAATAATAATAATAAGAATATTAATATAGTTATATCTAATAATACCAGTATTAATATTATAAAAAAGATAATTACTAGTAGTTAAGCCTAGCTTAAGATAGAAGATATTATAAAACTCTAGATAAATAACTTAAAAAGAATATTAACTGTAATTTATTATAGATTAAGAAATTAGGCTAGGTAAGGTACTTTAACTTCTATAACTTACTTAATATTTATAAAGTAGCTAAGTAAATAAGAATAAAAATATTAATAAATAGAAGAGTCTAGTAAGAGAATAAATAAGTAGCTTATAAATAGTTACTACTAGCTTAGCTTAAGTAGAGTTTTAATTATAAGGTAGATTACTATTACTAGCAGCTTAATAATATACTAATAAAAATACTTTAGTAGCTTATTAATATTATAGTAGCAAACCCAAGTAGTATACTATTTAATTATAAAGGTAAAAAGATATTAATAAGTAAGTATTAATCTGTTAGTTACTAGTATTTAAGCTTTTACTAAAGGGTATATTATATTAGGTATAATAAGATATTTAAATATTAGGTAATTTACTTTATAGATAAATAGTAAAGCTTACTATATAATATTATAAAAAAACTAAAAGAGAATATATTTTCTTATACTAGTATTCTTAACTCTTTTAATAAAAGAAGAGACCCTAGTTACTTTTCTAAGTATTCTGTAGTATTAAATTAGTAGGTAGAGTAATATAGTATAAATAAAGTTATTTTAGGCGTTAAGTAAAAGAGGATTTAAGTAAAAGAGGAAATAAAAGGGAGATGTTAATTAGTTAGGATTAGTTAATATAGGAATTAGATCCCCCCTGCTAACTATTAAAAAAAGAGGTCTAGATAGATAACTAAATAGCTCTAGTTAATAGTTTAAATTAAAAGAGAGAGAAAAAAGAAAAGAAAAAAAAAATAAGATAAAAAAAAAAGAGGAAAAGAAGGCAAGAAGTAGAGAAGCCGAAATATTAAAAAATATAGTAGTATTCTAGTAGGGTAAGTAAGTAAACTCTTAATTAATAAAATAGACCCCTCTAGTTTAAATTAATCTTAGATTATTCTTAATTAATAGAAAAAAGAAAAAAAAAGAAGAATTTAAGATATTAGATTTAGAAAACCTATAATAAAACTTAATAAGTTCCTCTATAATCTAGACTATTGGGTTGTTATCTACTAATAATATTAGATGTGCTTAATTTCTAAAAAAGCCAGTTAGAGAAGCTACTTATAGGCCGAGCTGTATTAGATAAGGGGTAATAAGCTAAGGTTAATAGTAGAGCTACTCTTTAATTATAACCTCTATTTTATTAAGAAGCTATAATAATAGAAGGCTGATAATAGCAGGCTCTACTAATAGATTAAGGGTTTTACTAATTATAGTAGCTACTATTACCTTCTTAAAAGCTATAGCTATAGTATATAGCAGCTCTAGAAGATATATAACTATATACCAATATATAAGAAGAAGGCTTTATAGTATAATTACAATATACCGCTCTAAATTGTATATTAGCTCTAGATGTATTTTACTGCTAAGGGATATATTAATTACTTTATAATTAAGAGTCTATTATTATTACTACTATTATCTATCTCTAGTAGTTAGAGGGGTTTAATACTAAACCTTCTTATACTGCTATTATTATAGAAGAAGAAGAGGCTTTTTAATAAGCTTAAGATTAATATTATCTAGGTATTTTATAATCTTAATAAGAAGGCTAAGGTTATATAGGTAATTAAAGAGTCTTGAGTAAATTAAGTCCTCTAGCTTATTTATATTAATTTTCCAACCTATTTATAAGGCCTTTAAGATATTAAGATTTAATTATCTTACTTACTCCTTCTATTATCTAATAAGACCTCTAATAGAAGGGGTAGCTATAGTAAAAAAAAAGATACTACTATTATTACTAATCTTACTTATATTATTTTAGCAGTAGAGGTAACTTTATAAGATATATATATACTCTATAATAATAAGTTACTTAACTATAAGATAATATAATAGTAGGTAAAATAATTAAGTAAGTTTTAAAATAATAATAGTAGCTACTTAAAATTAAAGAGTACTTATAGCTTCTATAGCTTTAAAAATAAATTCTTTTTAGTATTATACTTCTACTAGATAAAGTAGCTATTTATATATTACTATTAGGTTATTTTTTATAAGAATAGCTATTTTATAAGAAATAGTAAGAACTAGATATTATTATAAGATATTATTAAAGTAATCTCTTAGTAGTAATAAGCTATAAACTAGATTATTAATATACTATAAATATAAGATAAGTAAATAGAGAATTAATTACTTTCTAGCTAAAAAGAGAAAGAAAATACTAAGTATAATATTAAGCTAAAATATACTATTTACAACTTCTATATAATTCTAATCTACTAGTTTATTAGAAGCTAGCTATTTTAATTAGTTATTCTTAACTTTTATACTATATTAAGCTAAAAGAAGATATTTACTTAATAAGAGTTAAGAAATAATAAGAAGGATAATAATAAGCTATAGGATAGGTAATATATATAATATAAGCTAGGTAACTTTAATAGCAATCTATTTACTTTTATATAGACTATCTAGCTTATTTTTTTTAATTTTATCTACTTTTAAAAGTAAGATAAAGAAAATAAGATTTTATAGCTACTAGATATATTATATTAGAAGTATTTCTACTTAATAGCTAAGACTCTTTTTAGCTATATTCTCTAGTAATATCTCTATCTCTTTATTGTAGCTAGAATAGTAATTATAAAAAACTAGGCCTACTAATCTCTTAATAAATAGATAGTTACTTATATTAGTATAGAGCTATATATAGAATAGATCTTATAGCTTATTATATCTGAGTTTTACTAAGTATACTTACTTTTATATAATAAGCTCTTATTTAAAGCTAGAGAGATTACTTTAATTAAGGCCTAAAGGCTATAAAATAACCTTAATCTAGATAATTATAGTAGCTTCTAATTAATAGATAAGAGGAATATTGAGGTTCTAGAGGGAACTCGGGATATATTCTTATAGTAGATTAAGAGGCAAGCTAATTTATAATAAGTCTTTATATAGATTGATTCCAATAATATAAGCTATTTCTACCTAAAGATAATTACTCTTTATAAGGTGTATATTTAGGAGTTTTTAAAATATATAGTAATACTAATAGCTATTCTATTTAGTTTCCTGCTATAGTTACCTAAGCTATTCTTAATTACCTATATTAATACTGGTATTTAATATTACTCTCTTTTAATTTAGAAGAAACTGATAATAGTTTATATATAATATTATAAGAGCTAAGAGTAAATAGAAAAGAAGAAGAATAATATCTACTTTCTACCTCTAGTAATTAGAGACCTACTCCTAATATATCTAGCCCTAGTGCTGCTACTATATTAAGTCTTCCTCTACTAATATAAGCTAGATATCTTGTTTTTATTATACCTTTAGTTAAAGCTAGATAGCAAGGTCTGGAGGGATCTTATAGTCTCCTTTTATCTTTATATAGTATATATATATACTGAGGTGCTCTAGTTCTAGGTAGTATAATAGTACTAGGCTGTAGCCTTAATTATAAAGAAGAAGTTTAGTACTAAGAAGTAAGCTAACTTTAATTTAGAGGAGATTATAGTATTTAAGAAGGTTAAGAATAAGATAGACCTAGTAGACTTAGCTGGGATAAGTAATTATAACTACTATATTTTTAACTATATCTATACTAGTAGTATAACTCTGGCTATAATTATTCTACTTTACTATGCCTACTAGGCTTTATAAAGTTAGTAAATTCTCTTTTAGATAAATTAGCTTTTTTAGAATAAGTAGCTCTAAACTATCTTAGAGATATAAGCTTAGGAGCTATTTATAGTCTATAAAAAGATGCGGTTTTATATAAGGCCGGTAGCTAAGAAGGTAGATTTTATTAGAGTTGCCTATAGGCTCTATAGGGATTTCAAGCTGTAGCTATATCAGCTGAGTTAATATAATACTATACTAGTAACTCTAAGTCTAAAGCCGGCTAAATAGGTTATTATTGTCCTTATAACTAGATCTAGTAAGATATTAGTCTTTATAGTTATAGCTATATTAAAAGGGGTAGTAATAACAATTCTAATTCTTTTTATAGTAGCTCTATATAGTAATATAATTAAATACTTAGATAGAGTTAAGTTGTAGTATTATATTTAGTCTCCCGGCTTAATTAAGGCTGCCCTTCTTATTATTATCTTAGCCAAGGCAGTATATACCAATAGGTTCCTAGAGTATGCTAATTAGCTAATAGACTAATAGTAGTTAGATTGGATTATTATTAATAAGTACTATTTAATAATTATAGCAAGCAATTATTAATAGAGTATATTATAGCTAGCCTAGTATATATAGCATATCTAGATGCAAATAGTTTAAATAATAGCAATACTTCCGCTGATATATAATAAGCTCTTCCTTGAGTATAATAAGCTTATATAGCTATATACAATCCAGAAGTTAACCAATTAACTGAATATCCGCTATATCATCTGGCAAGAGCGAGGTATAGATAGCTTACTAGAGAGAGCAACCCGGCTTATGCAGTCCTGCTGGGAATAGACGGATTTCTTCTGAAGCGAGCAAGACCGGGTGATTTTCTATTGTCCGACCAAGGAGATAGTGGCCGAGCTGGCTGATATGCTGGGCTGCCCTTTCTATACGGCCGATTCGAGCATGGCGGATGAAAAGGGGGCGATTATTAAATTGTGGCTCCAGGCCGGTAACTCTCCTGCTATTATAGCTATAGCAGCCCTCGGCCCTGGGTTCAACTATGTGCATATGCGATGGGTCATCTACGTCGGCGCCCCCAGCTAGATGACAGACTTCTTATAGGAATCTGGTTGAGGTAGCTGAGATGGCCAACCCGCTGAATTTATTATCCTGCTCAATGCCGCCTGGCAGCTGCAGCTGGATTGGCCCCTCAGCGCCGATAGCGAGGCCATGTAGTTATATCTCATACAGTAGCACTGTTTGCGCGGGATCCTTAGCCAGTTTCTTAATAAGAAGGCTGACTGGCAGTGGTGTATGGAAGACGATAAGCTCTGTGGTGTCTGTCCCGAATACTACTGTGAACGCCGGCCACCCGGTATGCAGTTCCATCTCCCCAAGCGTATCCGTAGCTCGAGCCCAGAGCCGGAAGAGGATAACAATGCTGAAGTACGCCCTAGCGCTAGCGAAATGGTCTTTACTGGACCGAGGGAGGTTCTGAATCAGGCTCGGGTCTGCGATGAGGAGCTGAGTCGGTATGAGAGCGACCTCCAGATGATGCTGGGCTGCTGTTTGTATTGTCAAGTAGAGGGGAAACTATTCGAGTATACAGTAATGACCTGTGCTTAACGTTACTACTGGATTTAGGCTAAGTAGAAGGCGCTGCGGGACTGTTAGAGCCGGAACTGGGACTGGCTGGAGCGATATGTTGTCTGTTGGAACTGTTACCAGCCCCAGGAGATTTGCCGCGCAGCCGATCCGGACTACGATGGGGATCGTTCCTGCCGGTTCCCCGATATGGTGATGCCGCTGTGTTTCGGGGCCTTTAGTCGTCCCGGCCGGACGAAGTGGTTGTTTAAGCATTTTAATCAGACCTTTAAGACATGTCATGAGTATATGCTGTGGCTTGGTACGACCTCCTCGCTGGGCGGCAGTAGGTGTGTGCAGGCGAATTGTGTGGCTGTACTTCTATTAGCTGAGCTTGAATAAGGGAATCTAATTACTAGTAGAAGGGGCCTAGATATAGTTATAAAGAGAGCAGTTTAATAATATAGATAGCTTTTCTATTTGGGTATACCTACTGTTTATAGTCGACCGACCTTTTTCCTCCAAAGAGGCCCCGCCGCCCAATCAACATCCGTTTCCCTCCTCTTTCGTCCAAAAAGGGAATGTATCATAAACGCGCCAACCCCGGCCCTGCTAAAGGACTGCCATTTGCCTTGCTCCTTCCTTTTTTATTGAAAAAGCCCCTTAATTTTATTCTTTACCGGTATTGCAACTATAAACTGTATATAGGTTGCCTGCTGCGCCACCGGGGGAAATAAAAACTATATATAGAATAACTACAACTACTACTACTATTACTACTCCTATATAGTATAGTATATTATTAGGTAGATATATATTCTATTCTATTATCTACTATTATTTATTAATATATATTAATATTATATCCCTACTTACGCTTTAACCTGCCTAAATATAGCAGCCACTGCCAACGTATCTATCAACTCCGCCACCTACAAGCCCTACCTACGCACCGCTTAAGGACGGCCTACCTAGAGGATGGCCAGCTGCGCCCACACCTATATGAAGATATAATGATATATTACTCGCGCAGGAGATAGCTGAGGACCGTCGCTTACAAGCTAGGGCCGACCGGATGTAGCAGGAGAGCCAAGAGTACTCGTGCGCCGAAGACAACGAGACGACGCCTTGGCTGAAGCATACGAGGTGGCCAGAGCTGTTCCGGAACCGACCGCTCGACATCATCACAGCCTCCGCGAGGCAGCCCGCTCGAGGCCCCAACAGGGACAACGAGGACTATCTGCTCGGGGCCTGGCGAGGTGTGCCGCTTCGGAGCCCCGCGGCGGCGGAGGCGCGGCTGCGTGTCTTAATGCGTGCCGTCGACGACGTCTTCGATCGAGCCGAGGCCACCCTGGCGTCCACGTCCTACCAGTCGCGCTGCTAGCTCACGAGCTACCGGATGGGCGCGTTTTGCAACCGCCCACTCCGTATCATGCCGCGGCGAACCAAGGAGGACTATAAATCGAAGTGGAAGCGCTTCATCTGCTACATCTTCCAGGTCATTACGCTAGAACCGCGGCAACGCCGGCAGATATATAACGTGCCGTTACGCGCAGATGACATCAAGATGATGCGCTATATCTTAGGCCTCGTATCGCAGCTCGCGGAGGGAAGGGAGGACAGCGACAACGAGAGCGATAATGAGAGTAACAATGAGAGCGACAATGAGAGAGCGACAACGAGAGCGACAATGATGAGGAAGAAGAGGACGAAGATAATGAAGATACTGATGGCGATGACGACAAAGACCGCTCACAGGACGAAGGCGAACAGGAAGACGACAAGAAGGATCACAGCTCGGCTCAGTCTACTTTCCGCCCTCATAAAGGTACTCGGCTCGAGCTATCCGAGGCACTCTTCCAGCTCTCAATGATGTTCTGGACGTATCAAAGCTAAGACGGGATAATGGCCTCGTCGACAATAATATATTTCACGGCGGTTATGGGAGTCCACCGTTCCTCTCTAGCGTACCGTGACGCATATAACTCGACACCGGATCTCGCAGCCCTCATATGGGTAGGGCGCCTATTCTTCCTCGAGTATAGCCTGCCGCTATATAGCTACGACACCCTCGCGTATGTCTGGCCGGCCCGACGCACTTACCCATCGCAGCCAGAACGTCTTGAGGCAATCCGGGTAAAGTACATGCTAAGAGGTTGTCATTCCCCTCTTAGCGAGCTAGTCGAGCTAAAGGCTTTCGGAAAAAGCATTATTAGACAGGAAGGTCCTCGGGGTAACTTAACTTGGGCTCTAGACGGCCGCTCGTTCACGATCGGTGACAACAAGGTAGTACGGCTATCCAAGTTCTGCGCCACCTACCAAGCCGCAATTGCACAAGTACAAGAGCTAGTCGCCGAGATGATGCTAGGGTAGGAGCCTATGGTCGACCTCTCCACGATCCGCGACGACCTAACCTGCCGGCAGCCGGGCTGGTGCTTCCTCGATAAACCGGAGAATAACCTAGCGGGCACCTACAAGGCGATGGCACGCCGCGCGTGGTCTTCCTCCTTCCGCGGCCAGGCCCTTGCTAAGGCAGGCCACTGGTTGCCCGGCCCGTGCCTGGCATACCTGGGAGCGGGCGTGGAGCTTACCACGATGGGCTTCTCCGCGTCCCACGTAACGGCGGGACTACCTGGCCGGGGCACCGAGACGACGAGTATCCGGTTTCGAAACACAAAATTAGCCATCAGGAATGTCTTCATCCGCGAGGGACGGGTTATCGTTATCATTAGCTACAACAAAGCTCGCGCCTTAAATAACCACGTCTTTTATGTCGTGTGCTACCTTCCGGATGACCTAGACTCCTCTATATTCCTCTACCTGGCTTATATCCGGCTATTCCTCGACTTCCTAGCGAACCAGCTCGAGCTACTGCAGTACTATAGCAACGAGTTCCTCTTTCCGGACCCGAAGTATAAGAAGAGGTATCTTACCTCTATATAGGTAACGGCGGCCCTGAGGAGCCTAACCCAGGATCTACAGACGCCGTAGACGATATCGCTCTATCGACAGGCGGCAATTGCTATTGCGAAGCGGTATATTAGTGACCTTATAAAGAAGAGGAATTTCTACTATCCATCTAACGCTAGCACGCCAGTCCGGATGATTGCGGCGGGAGTCGGCCACCACCCGCGTACGCTACTCAAGGACTACGCTATCGACAGGGCCTTGCCCGCACGGTTGCAACCGGAGCTTCTCGAGATGTACCGTCAACTATCTACAATTTGGCAAAGCTGGAACTAGCAGTACTACGAGGAATACTGCTTAGCGGTGGGCAGCGACGTGGTGAAGGACGGCGACGTGGTGGATGATTCGGCAGAGCGGGGGCGACGTCTGGCTGACGCTGCTACGCCCAATCCCGGCTGGCGGAACAAGAGGCCGGTGAGTCCCTCTAGTAGCGAGATGGCCCAGAAGAAGAGGAAGGGACTCAATATAAGTAGTAGCAGCAGTGGCTACTTAACCCCCGAGGCCGCCGCGACAGAACCACCCGAGGGATTTATCTACAATGCAGAGTATCAGATCCTCATCTACGTGACCTGCGAGTCTATAATTCATCCGGGGAGGCCGTCTTTCTATCAGCACTTAAACCGTAAGCACCGCCTTATGGGACCTGCGTGTAAGGCATATATAGAGCGCCTTAGCATACTTCAGCTTCGACCGCTCAAAGAGCTTGTTGTCCCGCGTGGGAAGGTTGCGGCTATCCCTGGCCTACGGGTCCATAAGGCATTTCGGTGTAATGTTTGCCCGTACTTTACAACCCGGTGGGCTAAGATGCTAGATCATATATCGACGCATAAGCTCGGCGTCTCGCCGCAGATAGCTTGGGAGATGGGCAAGATGGGGAAATGCTACGTACAGACATTCTCGTCCGCGAAAGGGCTGATAGTGTACTTCGAAGTTACGCCGCTACCGTCTCGGGCTTGCTAGGCGATTTCACCGGCGGCGCCTCTCTGCACATACGACAGACGGCTTCCTCCAGCAGCGGCACGGTAGGAAGGGAAGCTATTCAACGAGTTAAGGCAGGATCTACAGCAATGGGCCAAGAGGCTGAATAAATTCCAAGCCGGCAGCTCGAGCAAGGGCAAGGACAAGGCGTTCCGCAGCCTCAAGAACGAATCGACCCTAACGACGTACTTCCGGAAGATGAAAGAGATGCTGGTGTACTACTATCGCGTGGTCTACCGCGAGGACGGACACTTTACACGAGGAGGAGAGAAAGGGGACCAGCCGGTACCGCGAGACGCTATCGAGCCGACAGAACGGCAGCGGCGGGCAATAGAGGAGGTCATCGAGATACTACGCGAGCAGGATAAGCGAGGAAACAAGAAGCACAAAGGCAAGACCAAGAAGGAGCAGGTTACCGAGCTCAAGTTTACAGTCCGGAAGCTACTAATAATACTAATATACCATACCGTCAGCAGCAAGCCGTTCCAATTACTGATTATTAGCTACTATATTATATACAGCTAAGAGAGGATTAAGAAGAGCAGTAATAGTATGCAGTATAGGAAGATAGAGAAGGAAAAGGGGATAAGTAATAATAAGAAGGATAAGGCTACAAAGTAGCATAGAAAGCTAGGCAGCTAGAAGGTCCCCGGAAACTATAGCAGCTACCTATCGGCGATAATATAGACAGCGTAGCTAGTAATATTTAAGTCGGTCTACTTTAAGATAACAGACTGCAAGGATAATATACTTATAGTACTAGTATAGATATACAGAAAGTATATATACCAGGCGGGGGAGATAGCATTTAGGTATATACTATAATAGTAGCTATACCTATTAGCAGCAGCAAGGTCAGCTATATTACAAGACCAGACTTACTAGTTGTAGAATAGCAAGGAGATTACATACTTAGGTATAATACTGTATATAGACTATATACTATAGCTAATTATATTAAAGTTCTACAAGATATAGATACTACTATTTAATAAGCTGCTATTTAGCACTATAAATATTACGCTAATTAAAATATAAAAGCTATAGGATAATCTAGATATTAAGGACTATAGCAGGTCCTAGCTAATAGACAATTAGAATATAGAGATTCTAGCTAAGTTATAGGAAGTGCTATTATAGTAGATTAAGTTAAAAGTAGATTTCTAGTAAGTTTTTATATAGAATATAAAAGTAGCTAAGGTTAATAAAAAAAGAATAGAAGAAAAAAGAAAAAAGAGGCTATATTAGTAAGTTATAGTAGTTTATAAGGTATATATATAAGATTTTTTAAAGTTAATAATTATACTTATATATAAAGTACTACTATTACTACTAAGAATACTAAAATTACTATTTATAATAGGTATAAATAGTATATAATATTAAAGTATATTTATATAGAAGAAGCTAGTAATAGTATATATATATTATTATAAGAGTTAATAGTAAATAGATAATATAATAGATAATATTTAGTTTTTACTACTAGTTATTAAGAACTTACTAGTAATATTCTAGGTATTAATATAGCTACTTAAGTAGATATTCTTATATTAAATTAAGCTTAAGATACTATTCTTATTATATCTATAATTAAATTTAAAGAGTAAAATTTAGTAGAATTAGGTTATATTTAAGTAATTAAGCTATATATATATTTATATTTAAATACTATAATTTAAAGCTACTTAGTAGTAGTAAGTAGCAATAAGTATTATTAAGAAAAAGTTTATAGCTAAAAAGTAAGCTAATTTTAACTTAAAGGAGATTATAAATATAAAGATAATTAATAAGAAAAAGCTAATAATAAATTTAGCTAAAAATAGCAACTATATATTCTGGATATTTAACCTAGTATATACTAAATTAATAATACTTATAATAAGTATACTTTTATATTATACTTATTAAACTTCTTTAAGCTAGTAATTATTATTTTAAGTAAATAAGTTACTAATTAAGAAAATAGCTAGTAGTAGTAGTAATAAGAAGAAGTAATTATAAAAAGAAAGAGAAGAAAATAAAAAAAAAAAGGTAAATAGTAGTAGGATATTAAGTATCTATAAGAAGATATAGCTTTAATTAAGGCTATTTAAAAAGAAATCCAGCCTGCTAGTAGTAATATATAAGCTTTATAATAATCCCAGCTTATAGCTTTATAAATTAAAGTAGTAAGATACTATATTAGTTATAATAGAGCTAAAAGCAGTAGAATAAGTAGTAGTTATACTAGAAATAGAATTAAATA